AATTTCCTGTCTGATTAGGGTTGGGTATGGGTTTTACCACACTAAGCGTGAGAGAGTGGGACACTCTCTACCTCAATCATGTTGAGCACAAATGATGCGACGTTGGGCATGGGCAAGACATCCCTATCTCAATGGCATCACGTGCCATTTGAGTAGTGTCGGGTGCAACCCACATGTTGTATGTTGGTTATTTTAAAATGAACTATAGTTGAACATTGATGATTAAGTTGTATGTGTGTTGAATATAATGAATTGTTGATATTTAAATGATGTCGAATGATAACAATTGATGATGAGTACTGTTGATGTTAAATTGTATACTGTTGTTTTATTTGATGAGAGTCAAAAGTTGAAAAGTTGTATGGTATATAAAGTGGTAAAGTTGTGAACATGTAGTTGAGATACATATCTAAGTTGCAATGCATAGATGCTAGAGGTGAATTAATTTGTTTTAAATGTTGCTTCCCTTTAAGGTCTATGTGGTTTTGATATGGAAGTAGTCGAATAATATCTTAGTTGAATGACTAACCAAGTAAAGTACGAAATCGAGGGTTAAAATTCCTAACGTAATATCGGAGGGTTGTGGTATTTAGAGGGTAGTCGGTGGGTTAATCCTATAGGTGACTTAGTTAATCTAGTTAATGCTATGGTAAGTTAATATCCAAACTGTTCTATCTTGATATAGTACCCATACTTCATTGTTTAAGTAGCAAAACTAGAGAAATCAAACTAAATTGTCTATATCAAACTCTTTTATGAGGTCTATGTTGTCCTATGCCTAACCTAACAAAGATAGGTCTGATGTTGTATTTGGTAAGGTCAAGTCACTTAAACTGTTCACCTTAATTGTAAGAGATCTCTTTAGTTGACATGTGTAACAACGCATTAGTTGTTAATATATGTATGCTGAAATGTTGATTATAAATAAGTTGATAAATGATGTTGTAAGTTGTGAGTTGTACTATTGTTGATCTATATCTTTTTGTTGCTTTAGTTGTATTGTTGTATGTTATTTCTTTTGTAGGCTTTTCCTTCTTTTCCTTATGATTGAGACTGCGATCATCATATTTAATATACAAATAAGGCAAGATTAAGTGATTAGTTGGCGAGATGATAGTGGTTTCGTATAACTCTTCTAACAAAGTCATATTTTGGGAGTCTTCGACCAATTGTATGGAGGATATTTTGTAGTAGTCTAGTATTTGATGTATATATACTAGATCATATATGTTGTACATATCTAATATAGTTTACTTTATGTGTGTCTTAACTTTCATTTAAGGTCGATTTTTAATAATAAGTGCGATGATCTATCAGGTCGCCACACACTTAAAATATTAAAATACATTAGTAATACTTTTAATAATAATAAATCTGCAATAGACTAGCAATAATTGAGATATAATATGTACAAAATTAATAATATAGTTGTTGCACCGGATGCAGCCATAGACATGGGACAACCTTTTGGCTCGGCTGTTGAGGTTGCTGGTGCCAATCATGTTGCTGCACTTGGACAACTGAATTTAATTAAGGTCTCAAATGTTACACCTACTGTGAAGGTTGCTCCTGCTTCAAAGACTACATCGATTCTTACTGTGGCAGCTTTGCTTAACCAGTCAACACAACTGGAGCAGCTCAAGCAACCTGGTCGATCAACAGATGAAGATAACATTCATGTGCAGGACAAGGAGGCTGTAGTAGGTGCCAGACATGGTTCTCCTGTTCGGGAGAGGGTGAATTCTCTTGATCTGTCTCTCGATGGCATGTCATCCCTTGAGGATTTGTCCAATGAAGAAAGCCAAAGCTTTGGTGTGGAACATGAGCCAGAGGCTGTTTCAAGTGATGGTTCACCACCGGTCAATCCATATAAGCCTAACTACAGTGCTCCCAGGAGCTGGAATGTTAATGAACTTGCTACAACACAAAAGAAATATACCGCCTATAAGCTGAGATCTAGATCAAAGGCTGCCAAATCCTCTAAATTCTCTTAAACCGATTTTGAATATTTAGGGGGCTCAAGTTGATTGTATATAGTTTGACTGATACAATTTTGGACTATGCCACTTGATTGACATTGTTAGCATTACTATAAATTTTTTTAAAATTTTCTTTACTTTTCCTTGTATATCTTTTTGGCGGGTTTTGATTTGATTCCCCTACTTTATACTTTTCTCTTTCCTTTAATTTTAGCTTTTTTTGATATAAAATATATAATTGATACATTGCGAGGTACTAACCTAGTTAGAACTTTCTTTGCATAATAATGCTATAGCACATCTATTTTTTTTAAAAAATGTACAAAATTAATAATTTAAAAACATCATATAACTTTAAGAGAAAAAGCACAATCATCTACACCCAAGTCAAACTTTTATCCATCATCTTATCCTATAGCCTCATATCTTGTCACCAAAATGGATCAACTAATCAATCCATTCGTTACTCAGGTCATACTTGGTCTCACACTACTAAGGATAACCTTATAAGCCAAACTTAAATCTCTAATTTGAGCTAAAAGATCCATCTCTCTAATCGGGCATATCATTTCTAGTCGGGGCATTGAGGTAGACCCTGCAAAAATATCTGTTATTACACAATTGCCTTACCCCTCTTACGTGCGAGAGGTGCGATCTTTTCTTGGCCATGCAGGTTTCTACAGGCGCTTCATTAAGGACTTCAGCAAGAAAGCCCTTCCACTATCCAGCTTGCTTCAGAAAGATATTGAATTTAATTTTGATGACAGGTGCAAGGAGGCGTTTGACTGCCTCAAGAGATCCTTGACCACCACTCCTATCATCCAGGCACCAACTGGACAGTTCCCTTTGAGTTGATGTGAGATGCTTTAAATTATGCACTCAGGGCTGTCTTAGCATAGAGGGTTGACAAATTTCCTAGGATGATATACTATGCTTCCAGGACATTAGATGATGCTCAAGAAAATTACACGACCACGGAAAAGGAACTTTTAGCTATTGTTTTTGCACTTGATAAATTTTTATCATATCTGCTTGGTTCTCGTGTCGTTGTTTTTACAGATCATGCAACTCTAAAGTACTTGTTGAAGATGGCTGACTCAAAGCCTAGGCTGATCAGATGGATGCTCTAACTTCAAGAGTTTGACTTAAATATCCGTGATAGAAGCGGAGCACAAAACTTGGTAGCAGACCATCTCAGCAGGATTGAGAGAGTTGAGGATGAGAAGACTTTGCCCATTCAGGATGATTTTCCTTATGAACACTTGTTAACTATTTCTTTTCCTTCCCCCCACCCCTTGGTTTGCAAACATTGTGAATTATTTAGTTCCTTCTATTTTTCCTCCTTTTGCATCTAGAGCTCAAATTGATAAACTTAAGAGCGATGCTAAACATTATGTTTGGGATGACCCCAATTTGTGGAAGTTGTGCAGTGATCAGGTAATCAGGAGATGCTTGCTAGACCATGAGATTGATTTAATCCTGCACTTCTGTCATTCTTCTGAACCTGGTGGTCATCTTGGCATTCAGAGGACAGCTTGTAAGGTGCTTGATTATGGTTTCTACTGGCCCACCATCTTCAAGGATGCATGGAAGATTTGCAGCACCTATGAGTAGTGTTAGAGAGCAGGAGGATCCCTTTATTGGAGATAGTAGATGCCTCAGCAACCTATGTTGTTCTGTGAGGTCTTTGATGTCTGGGGTATAGATTTCATGGGTCTTTTTCTTGTCTCCTTTGGTTTTTCATATATTCTCCTAGCTGTTGATTATGTTTCAAAATGGGTGGAAGCCAAAGCCACCAGAACTAATGATGCTTGGGTTATTATGGATTTTGTTAGATCTAACATATTTTGCAGGTTTGGAGTACCGAGAGCAATAGTTAGTGATCAAGGCACCCATTTTTGTAATAGATCCATGTAGGCCTTGCTCAGGAAGTATGGGGTTTTTCATAGAATTTCTACACCCTACCACCCCCAGACAAATGGGCAAGCTGAGATTTCAAATAGGGAGATCAAGAGGATCTTGGAGAAGATTGTGCAGCCCAACAAGAAATATTGGAGTAGCAGGCTGGAGGATGCTCTCTGGGCACATAGGACTGCTTACAAAGCACCCATAGGGATGTCTCCTTATCGGGTTGTCTTACGCAAAGCATGTCATCTTCCTGTGGAGATAGAGAACCGAACCTACTGGGCTATGAAGACCTGCAACTTCTCTATTGATAAGGTTGGAGAGGAAAGAAAGTTGCAACTGAGTGAGCTTGATTAGATCCGCCTGGAAGCCTATGAGAACTCTAAGTTCTCTAAGTTCCATGATAGTTTGATAGCCAGAAAGGACTTCACGGTTGGGCAGAAAGTTTTACTGTATAATTCAAGGCTTGGTCTCATGGGTTGTAAGTTGCGTTCTAAGTGGATTGGACCTTTTGTTGTTACTAACGTTTTTCCTTATGGTACAGTTGAGATCAAAAGTGAATCCACAGACAAAAGCTTCAAAGTTAATGGGCACCATCTGAAGCCTTTCCACAACAATATTTCCCTGTTAAATGTAGTTGTAGAGGAGATGTCTTTGCTTGACCCCACTTCTCTCCCACCACCATGACTTAGGGAGTTTTCTTTCCCCTTCTCCTTCTTTACTTTTATTGCACATGTCCAATTCTATTGATTGTTCTAATTGGTATGATCTTATGTGTGTTCCACATTAGGACAATGTGTGATTTAAGTGTGGGGGGGATTATTTTGGTTATATGCTCTTAGGTTTATTTGTTATTTTTGTTTTAGGTTTTATGTTTAGGTTTTAGGTTTTATGTATTGTTTTGCATGTTTCTCTTTGATTTCTAGGTTTTGATAGTTCAAAATCTGAGGTCGAGTTCGAACCTCGGTATGATTAAGGTCGAGTTCGAACCTTCACAGAAATTACTTAACAAAAATCTGAGGTCGAGTTCGAACCTCGGTATGATTAAGGTCGAGTTCGAACCTTCACAAAAAACTACTTAACGAAAAATCGAGGTCGCGTTTGAACCTCGGGAGAAAGAAAAGAATGTTTCCAATCTATTTATCATTCGTTGAATGAATCTTAATTCTTAACCATTGATGGATTTCTCTTACAAATTATACGGTAAAATTGAAGAGCTAAGCAATTCTCTTGAAAGATTTTACAATTAGATTTTGGTTGTTTGAATAACAAAAGCCATAATAACTCAAAAGTTAGTCAGAGAATGGAACCGGTGAGAAAGACTAATCAAGCATTCCATCTAGCATTGCTATAAGATTATATTCGCATCTTATAATCCAAGCTTCCCCATTATATAAATACAATAACTCCTTACTCGTGACTACAAGCATCTGACACATGTTTTGCAATAAATTGCTTATATTTTCCCGATTATAAATACATGAACTCCTTACCCATGACTAAGCAACTGAGACACGTTTTGCAATAAATTTGTGATAAATGTAGCAACTTGCCTTGGGTAGATTTAGCATGTGTGGAGAAGACATATGGACCAAATCGCTAGAGGTTGAGAGAAACCAAGAAATATTATGGGCAAAACCATTATGAAGGATCTAGAAATCAATAGTTTATTACAGACATTATTTATAGTAGAATATTATGAGTCTATTTGGATAAAATTACATGTTATGTTAGAAGTGTTTTTAAGAATTTCTTTACCAAAAATAAAAGTTATTTTTATAGAGAAACTCTTAAGAATACTTCTAAATTTGTATCTCTACATTTGTATCCAAACAGTTCTATGACATCATTTGATTCATGCAGTGAATTTCATATAATGTGAGTAAGGTTGGTGGTTATTATTTTTTAAGGCAATTGGTAATTTTGCATTTTTAAACTCATGCAGTTACTAAATAGTTGATGCTAGTGTTGATATCTCTTTTCATGTGCTTTTAAACTTAAAATGTACAGTTCAATGAGGAGCAAGAAACTGATGATGCCACACCCCAAGAGATAAATGCAACCATCAATAATGAGCCAGAGGTGCTTGACAATGAAAATGAAGATCAGTCTCATTTATCCCCCGAAATGGAAGACAGGCTAAACAACCAGCCAGTTGATGGTAATCCCTTGCAAAATGACATCAAATGGGGCCAAGAAACGGTAAAGAAATTTCTAACTAAACTTGGATTCATTTGATGTCAAACTTTACAGAACCACTTGAAGAAACTTAGCGGAAACTCATCAGGAGTCTGTGATCATTCTGATCCATTTGCCTAAATTTTTATTGTCCTGGAAAATATGGATAGGAGCTCAAGAATCATGATGTTATGCGATGATGGCTGTTGAGTGTATCATTCTTTCAGTTTTGGCCACTTCTGTAGCTGTAATCTGTATAATATGTCATCTTATACTTAGATTGTATCATTCTTTCAGTTTTGGCCACTTCTGAAATCTGTATAGTACTGTGTTTCGTGGGCCATAGAGAGCGATTTGGTTGTGTAAAATAGTGCTTTGTATCATCAACCATGCATCTGTTGTAATAAGTTCGAAGTTCTATGAAATGCTTTTATCTCTTTCCTATTTGGTTCTTATATGCTTTAAAATGGATCAGTTTATAAAACAGATTGGATTAATTGGTTCTTGTAAATTCTATGAAATACTTTTATCCCTTTCCTATTTTTATTTTTATTTTTTAAAAAAACAGTTTGGTTCATTGAACGGAATTTTATAAAGTGAATTGATTCACTTCTTCTAAAACAGATTGGATTTTTAAAAAAAAAAAAAATTAATCGGTTCTGTTATTTATTTAATATTTATTCGAAAAAAAGAGGCACTTCAAATTTTTCTATTTAAAAATAAAAACCAAAATAATGAATGGTTATTCAAAAGAGAAATTTAAAAACTGAAAAAATAGAAGAAAAAGAAGAGAATAAATAAATAAAAGATAATGAAAGAGAATATGATTTAGAAGTAGTTGTTGAGATAAATTACTCCAACATTTCTATAATATTTTCTTTATTAATAGTGTAGAAGTATGATTCAGTTTTTTTTCATAAAATTAAATTGATTTATTAATAATAAAAAATGGTTAGGTTAAATGAACAGTTTTTAAAGAGTAAATTGATTCAAAATGGATCAATTTTTATTATCCGGATCAGTTTGATTTTAAATCGGTTGGGTTCGAATTTTTTTGCGAAAATCTGATGCAGATTTCTCAATTATTAACCTGCATATTGCCAACCACATTTGGCTCTATGTTAATTTTTATATGTTTGATTTATTAAAAAAAAATGGTTGGGTGTAGATAATTATTATAGGAAGATTTAATTTATGCTTGCAAGATGGGCTGAGTGTAGATAACTATTAACTCATCTTGAAAGCATACATGCCATCTTTGTAGTAACTGTACTAAACTACCAAAGCAAATGGGTTGTGTGCAGATAATTATTGTAGGTAAATGATACCACAAAGAAGTTCTAGGTAACATGCTGCCTCAATGGTGGAAGTTAAAGAAAAGATTAATGTTAACGGTACTCACTACTACTATATGTAACCATTAATGCAGCAAGTTAAAACTGAACAGATGTTATTTAAAACACTTTCTCAATCTATACTATAAAAATTATTATTATTATTATTTTAATATATTTTTAATGTAATTTTTGATAAAAAAAAAATTTGTTTATAACACTAGTAAGCATAGTTTTAAAAACCAAATCGGTTATCAAACTGATTAGAATACTGGATCAGTGGGTCAAAGATTGAACAAATGGGTTATTAATTAAACCGCATAACTCAATTTTTGTTAATCTTTTTTAAAAAAATATTCATATTAAATATATTTTATACTTATAAATTTCAATAAATTTATATCCTATTTTAAATTTTAATTTTTATCTTATTTAAAATTATCTTTACTTTTATTTTGTATAAAGAAATACATCAAAAATTACATGTTAAACTATATATTAATGCAAATTAAAAATATAAATAATATTCACATATATAATATACTTACAATTAATATCACAAAATAATATATGTAATATTTACATAGATATTATATTATTAAATACATAATTTAAAATTAATAATATATTATAAAAGTTATTTAAGTTGAATATATTACAAACAAATATATTAAAACAAGTAGTATAGTTTGTAAACCCTTAAAAAAAATATAAAAAAATTGTAGTTGAACTGGTTTGACCTAGTAGTTCATTAGTCTAACCAAAAAATTAACCGATTTAATTTAATTTAAAACAGATCGAATACATAACTGATTTAACTTAAAATTTGGACCGACTAAATCACCGATTTGTTTAATGAGTCCAACCACCCTGGTTCTTGCTAGTAAGTAGGAGTGGGTATGCGGACCGGTCTGGCCCGTTTAAGGCCCGGTACGCGTAGTCCGCTTTTTTAACGGGCCGGATAAATCCGGTCCGCAAAATAAATGGACTTAAACTTTCAAGTCCGTATCCGGCCTGTGAAGCCCGCGGATAAACGAATAAGTCTGCGGGCCCAATTAAATCTAAATTGTTTAAATGAATATTGACTCAGATTTTGAATTTCTTTTCCTTTATTTAACTATGAAAACATGAGGAAAAAAAACATATAAAATGATATAAATATACTTATAATAATAACATCAAACATTGTAAATAATAAATCAAAGTCTTAAATAACAAAGTTTACACATTATAAATTTCTAAATACCTTAAAACATCAAAGTCTTAATTAATATCTTAAAAACAAACATAAAATATTTGTAAGTCCAATTACATCTATCAAATATAATCAAGCATCTTCAATAATAAAATTTAAGTTCACATTTAAACGGGTGATCTACGGGCTCGCGAATTAAATCCGCAAAATCCGCAGACTAAACGGGCCGAACCAAAAAAATCCGTATGATTATACAGATTAAAAAAATTGGGTCCGTTATCCGTGAAGTTCGCGGACTTAGGGACTGATCCGTGAATTCAAGTACATATACCCACCCCTGCTAGTAAGTAGTTAATAGTGTTGAAAATATATATAAAAAAAAAAAAAAAAAAAGTCAATAGACGATAGATATCAAAACTGCTTTGATAATTTAAACCGACAATGGTCTATGATAATATGGGAAGTTGATAGCGTACGAAAGTGGGAGTTATAACTTTAAAGGGTAACTTGTAACGTTTTTCGGTTTTTGGAAGCGGTGTCAGAGATGCAAGTAAATTTTGTATATGTGTTACGTTACGCAATCTCGCATGTTCATAAAGTAATTATAATACAATAATGATAATAAAAAAAATATCAGTTTGCCATTTTATTTTAGAAAAAGACTTCTATTTTTTTTTAATTTGAAATGGCTCATATTCATAATATATCTTTTAAAATAAGAGTTTTTATTTTAAGTATTCATCTATCAGTTTTGTTCAAGTGTTCCAATTTAAGGTAAATTAAAGTCGAAACTAATCAATTTTAGTTTATTTGAATTGAATTTACTTAAAAGAAAATTGTGATTTGTATCAAGCTAAGCTAATTAACAATAAATTAGTTTAGTTTAAACTAACATAATATTCGTATATATGGGTTTTAATGTATGTTTGAAACACAATTGTCTAAAAAATTAATTTTTTATATTAAGATAAACATAATTAATTATTAAGTATTTTAAAATCATTGAAAGAACTTGAGTATTATAATTATTATTTTACTTGTTAATATGTAATTTATATTTTATTAAAATATTTGTAAGATGAATTGTTATGTGTCTTTGATATTGTATTCATCTCATTAGAAAATATGTATTAAATTATTAATTATTAAATTCTTGAAAATAAATATTTTATCTTCTTATCATAATAGTGTAAAATTGGTTAATTACAAACATATCTTTAAGCATAACAACAAGGTAGGTCAATATATAATACTTGCACTACACCAAAATTAATTTTTTGTAACAATTAATTTATTATTTAGCGGTCATATAAATAGTCATTATTTTTTTACCAGCATTTAAATAAATGCTAGTGTATCCAGTGTCGCTAATACTATTACCGACATTTATATAAAATGCCGGTAAAGATTTACTGAATTGTCGGAAAAACTTATTTTTTTTAGTGGCAATTCTAGTAGCCATTTTAAAGTCTATTAAAAGTTATTTTTTTCAATTGTCTCCTTTACTTTAAATAATTTATTCCTATAATTTCATTTTGTAAATTCATAACTTATATATTTTTTTATCTCTACTCGATGTGAAATTTGTAAGATGAGAGTTGTCTTTTATTTATATATTTTTTAATTGTCTTGTCTTTTAAGAGATGTGAGATTAATAAGGTGAAAGTTGTTCTCTAATTATTTTATAACACTATTGAACTTGGTAACAATGAGTGATTTCATACCAATTTAGAATAGTGAATTAGGAGTCAACCCTATAAAATGAACCTATAAGGTGATAGTTATTAGTCACTTATATACTATTTAATTATCTTATCTCTAATCGATGTGGGAATTAAGTTTTTTTTAATAAATAATTGTCGCTAATAGTAAACTTTCGTATAATATAAATACATTTTTAGTGGCTATTATATATTAGCCATTAATATTTTTACATATGGCGGCAATTAAATTATTGTCATTAAATAATTGTCATTAATAATAAATTTTGTTGTAGTGATAATAGATTTTGATATTCATCCCGTAAAAGAAGGGGCATGTTCAGGTTTTAGTTAAAAAGAGGCAGATTTGTATTTTTAAAAGTTATCTCAGTCTCCATTAGATTTTATTGGTTCGACTAAGCCCACAGAGAATTCTTAACATTTTTTTTGTAATTTTATTTTGCTTATACATTAAATAAATTAAATTTTAAGTCATTAATTATATTATAGTATACATAGTAAGTAATATATAAAATAATAAATAAAAAAATAACTTGCAAATAAAAAAGTTTAAGAATCAAATTAAATTTTTAAAACAAAAATGTAAAATAAAATTGTAGCAAGTATGAGTTAGGGGACATGGATTTACCTACCCAAAGTCAGGGAAAAACATACAGCCAAACTTATATAAAAGCATATTTTTCATCAAAATTAGGTTGGGTTAGACATATACGTGCGAGTTAGAGCTTAGTTGCTATGCCCACTTATCTTGTTCAACAATGTTTAAGATTTTTCTTTTCTTTTTAGCTTTCTCTTTTAAACTATGACACAGTTTTTGATTTAGGGTCTTGGGGAAGAGGCACGACAACGAAGTGGATTAGGGACAGATTTTGTTATCCCCATCCTCGCTCCATATACGGAGGGGTGGGTTTCGATTCTAGTTAAAAAAGAGGCAGATTTGTATTTTTTAAATTTATCCCCTTCTCGATAGCTTTTATTGGTTGGGTAAATCCACGGAGATCTCATGATGTCTTTTTATTTTTCGTTCCATCATCACAAATGTTTTTTTTGTTTGCACAATGACATACAAATTGGGTCATATTTTTTTTATCCATTATCATAATAAAAACCTATTATCATATTTTCAAACTCACTAGAACGAATATATATATATATATATATATATATATATATATATATATTTATCTCTTAGCA